TGGGCAACTTAGCAAGACCTTGTCTCAGAAATAAAAACTGAAAAGGGCTGGAGATGTAGCTCACTAGTAAAGTAGTAAGTACCCTTGGGTTCAATCTCCAGTAAAAATAAAAACAAAATTTTAAAACGCCATAGAACATAAAATACCAAGAAAAAACCCTAATGTAAACTATAGGCTCTGAGTAATAATTTACATATTACATGAGGCATCAATGTAGGTTCATTAATTTTAACACGTATTCCACACTGCTGGAGGATGTGATAATAGGGGAGGCTACACACACTGGGTTTGGGGAGCAGGGAATGTGTAGGAACTTTGCATTTTCTGCTCAATTCTCCTATGAACCTAAAACTGCTCTAAAAAAAAATTTTTTTTTTTTTTTTTTTAAAGAAGTGCTAGGGGTATAGCTCAGTGAGAAAATGCATGCTTAGCATGCATGAGGCTCTGGGTTCAGTGTCTAGCACACACACACACACAAAAAAGAAAGAAAGAAAGAAAGAAAAGACCAGAAGGATGAAGTCATCCATTCAAAGAACTAAATTTTCACAATAAACCTTATTAACAGTACAGTTCAAACTTTATATTGCAAAATGACACTAAAAATTATTTCTGTTTTTATATTTAATATAATTTGGATTATACAACTATGTTTATACCAAAAAGTGAAAAGAAAATCAAGTAGGGAGTTTGCGCTTAAATTTTCCCCAAAATTTTATGATATAACTATAAAACACAATTCATCCTCTATTTGATATTTACTGATTATCCTTGGCAAAAATATCTGAGGAGCCAGGTGTGGTGGTACATGCCTGTAATCTCAGTGACTCAGGAGGCTGAGGCTGGAGGACTGCAAGTTCAAAGCCAGCCTAAAAAGCTTAGGCCCTAAACCACTTAGTGAGACCCTGTCCCAAAATAAAAAATAAAAGGGCTGGAGATGTGGTTCAATGGTTAAACACTACTTGATTCAATTCCTGGTTCCAAAAAAAACCTAAGGATTTTGCCAGTCTCGAGGTCCTGTTTTTTGATATGTAAATTATTCTGTTTTGCAGGGCTCCTGGTATTATCCTGTTCATTTTCTTTTCTCTGTTAGGGGTTTCTTTTTAGGGTATACTGCAGCAACAGATATGCACTTCTGACCTGTTCTCAAACTTTTTTTTCATTAAACTTCATGAAATCTTGCACCTTTTGCAAGATTTGCAACTTCATTTCACAAATGATTTTAAGTGTTTTATCAATCAGCAATGAAAATGATAATAATAAGTCCTTAATCTAACAAACAGGGAGAGGCTGGGGATGTAGCTTATTGCCTAGCTTATGAGTCCGTGGCTTCAATCCCCAGCACCGTGAAGGAAAAAATAGTAAGAAGTTGTCTTAGTTGTGATGTCTGGGCACAGATGAATTTTTAAGTGACCAATTCATTAATAACAATTTTCATGATCTGACAATTTTTACTTTTCCTTTACTTCTCATAGCTGAAGACACTCAGACAACCAATAATTTGATAATAAGGAACACTGTTTATCACACAGGAAAGAGGCCAATTGAGGTTAAAAATGACAATTACTACTGGGCGTGGTGGCACATGCCTGTTATCCTAACCTGTTATCTCTGGAGGCTGAGACAGGAGGATCTCAAGCTCAAAGCCAGCCTCAGCAACAGCGAGGTGCTAAGCAATTTAGTGAGACCCTGTCTCTAAATAAAATACAAAAATAGATCTGGGGATGTGGCTCAGTGGTTGAGTGTCCCCGAGTTCTAACCCCAGTACCAAAAAAGAAATGACAATTACTACAAATACTTAGGCAGTGCCAACTGTGTGCCAGACATAATTCTAGAGCTGGAGATACAAAGATGAACATGAAATGCCCTCTAGGAATTCAATCCAACATGAAAGCTGAATGAATAAGCACACATACAAGCATGTTAAGTGCTGCCATATCAAGGCCTATATGTTTGATGTGCTAACAAAAAAATACAGAAAACAATTAATTCTGTCTGGTTCAGAGTTAGGCCTTGAAGGAGAAATTTTAAAAGCAGAAACCAGGGGGAAAGCTGCCAAGTACAGGGGAGGGGCAAAGAAAGGCCTGGTAACTGAGGACACAAAGCTCATTCAGAAAATGCAGGGTCCAGTGGAGCTGGCTCCATGTTGGTCACTGCAGTTTGGGAAAGGGTTGATTTTAAAACAGCAACAACAAAAGAACCCCTCTAAAAAGGTAATCTGGGGCCCAAGTTGAGACATTGCAAACAAGTTTGGATTTTATTCCCTAGGTACAGGAAGTCACAGGAATAACCAATGATATTTGAGAAATACCTGGCAACAGGCTACAGAAGGAGAGTGGGGGTGAAACAGAGATCACTGGTGCCTCCTGTTACAGTGTCTAAGCAAGAAGGATGGGCAGGTATTGCCTTCCCCAGGCCTCCACAACTAAAGAAGAGATTTCCAGGATGATGTAAAATTAGAAATGATCTCGGGACTTGAACTACCATGTTAATAATTCAGAGAAAGCAGAAGTACACTTGGGATAGGGAGGACCCAAAAGGATAAATCTTGGACAGGCTGAATGGAGTTGAGGTGGTATGGTCTGATAAACTACAACAAATGAACTAGAACTCAGCAAAGTTGGAGCTCAAGTTGGGCATGATGGCACACACCTGTAAACCCAGCAACTCAGAAGGCTAAGGCAAGAGGATTATAAGTTCAAGGCCAACCTCACCAATTTAGTAAGACCTAAGAAACTTAGTGAAATCCTGTCTCAAACAAAAAACAAAAAGGGCTGAGGATGTGGCTCAGTGGTAAAGTGCCCTAGGTTCAATTCCTGGCTTGAGAGATAAGCGCAAGCAAGCAAGCAAGCACGCACACACACACTCAAGTTCAAAAGGATTGGAAAGTGGAAAGTGTGTATATACACAGAAGCTGGAGCCACAATAAATGTAACTGTCCAAGGAGGACCACTGAATTTTGACCAAGTGCATTCTTCCTACTTAGTTAGTTGCCTTTTTTCTTTTTTTTTAAGAGAAGTACTAAACCCAGGGCCCTGCACATGCTCAGCACTTACTCTACCACAGAATAACATCCCCCAGCCTTCTTTTTTAAAGCTAGGCATCACTCACTTTCCCATGTCCTAAATCACCTTTTATCCTTATGCAAGTCATTCCACAACCACCATCTTCTCCAGAACACAGAACTGAGACAGTGTACCCCATGCTACATTATTTAGAAAGGTCCTCTGTTTTTGAGACTATTAACTTCTAGAGAAAAGAAACAAGACATCCTCAATACTTTTGTAGTGACTGGTTTGAACAAGCCTGAAAGGTTTAACAGATCGGTGGCACTTCCTGGAGAGAACCACAAAAATGTCTTAAGGCTGGATCCAGGGTGTCCAAATGTTTCCACAAGCCTCAGGGAGAGTAAAGATGCAGAAGAGGGGGACACCAGAGACCTTGCAATTCGGGCTTTGTCTGTGATAAACTTGCCTCAGGTAAGTCACATCTCTAGGATTATGTTTTTACAGGATGAAAATAAATGGCCTAAAATACTCTGTACCCCTGGTCTAGTTGAGAATTGTAAGGTCTAACAGGATTGAAGTTTTGGAGTGAACCCTCATGCCTACCTACCACCACCCCCAAAGAGCTGGGGACTGAGCTAGGACCTCACCCATGGCTGGCAAGAACTCTACCACTGAGCTACATTCCCAGCCCCTTTTTCTTTCTTTAAAGTGCCATTAGAGCCAGGACAGTGTCACATGCCTATAATCCCAGCAATTTGGGAGGCAGGAGGATTGCAAATTTGATGCCAGCCACAGCAACTTAGTAAGACCCTAAGCAATTTAACAAGACCCTGTCTCAAAATTTTAAAAGGCCCGGGGATGTAGATCAGTGGCAAAGCCTTCTGGATTCTATACCCAGGATCAAAAAATAAAAAATAAATAAATGAAGTGCCATTAAGAAATTCAGGAATGATGTAATAAACATCTTCAAAGTTCTTGTCTCTACTTCCTCCCAACTGCCTTTTAACTATTTGCTCATTAACATATCTGTAAGTGGGGCGTGAAGGGCAAAGAGGAAGTGAAGTCCAAAGATTTCATTTTGCTGCATTAGTGGCTCTGATGAAAGACTGTGGACACAGAAAATAAATCATACCATAAAGTGGATGTGTAACCGATGTGAATCTGCAATTTGTATACAGGGTAAAAATGGGAGTTCATAATCCGCGTGAATCAAATGTACGAAATATGATATGTCAAGAGCTTTGTAATGTTTTGAACAACTAATAAAAAATAAATAAAACTGGATTTGGAGGGGCTGAAGTTGTAGCTCAGTGGAACAGCGCTTGCCTAGCATGTGTGAGGCAAAAGGTTCAATTCTCGGCACCACATATAATAAATAAAAGTCCATCAACAACTAAAAAATATTTTTTAAAAAAAATGGATTTGGAGATTATGGGTGCTAGCCAGCCAGTTTCTTCCTAGACACTTTCACTCAACCTGGTCAACCAACGAAAAGAAAAATAACAGAAGACAGGCGATCGGGTTTTTTTAAAGGTCCAAACAGAAGGACCCATATTCAATGTTTAAATGCTTGTCACCTGGGAGCAGAACAGCCACAGAAGTCAAGGGCATAGCTATACCTTTCTGTTAAGTCGAAATCTGCAGATACCTACTTCAGTGATTTAAATTTGAGGTCAAATATTATTAAGTTTAAAACAAAGGGATAAATCTTTCTTCTTTTTATTTTTTGCAACCACGCCTCCCAACTTCAGGTCCCCTTCGTCACTCCAGACGGCTTTCAAAGAGGGACAAGAAAAGTCACCAAGTGGTTTTTTTTGGGTCCAGCCACAACACCCCGACTCCCTTCAAGGCCATGAAACCCGCAAAGGGGTCCGCGGGCGCGCGGTGCGCGTCGGCCCTGTCCCCGCGAAGGGTCCGGCCGGCCCGGGGACCCGGCGCGCTGCCCACGGCCCGCCCGCGTCACCTGACCGCGGCCCGGCGCGGCGCGGCACCGACCTGATGACACTGATGTGGAACTGTTCCTCGCGGAGGCCCCGCCAGGCGCCGGGCAGGAACTCCTTGCACCACAGGTAGGCCTTGCGCCGCGTGCGCGGATCCGGCTGCTCGGCGGCCGGCGGCGGCGGCGGCAGCAGCGGCAGCGGCGGCGGCGGCGGCGGCGGGGGCAGCGCGAGCGGCGGCTGCCGGCTGCCCAGCGGCTTGGGCTCCGGCTGGTCGGCAGCGTCGCGCGGCTGCCCCGAGCCGGGCGCCGGGGCCGCGCTGCCGCTGCCGCAGCTCAGCAGCAGCCCGAGCGGCGAGGGCTCCGCCTCGCTGCCGGTGCAGAACTTGGTCTTCATGCCGGACAGGCGGCCGAGGAGGCGCGGGCGGCCGCAGCGCGAGAGAGCGAGGCTCAGGGTCCGGCCGGGGGCCCGCCTGGGGCCGGGCGGGGTCTCTCGCGGGCTCTCTGGGGGCGGCCGGCCGGCGGGGGCTGCGCGCGGCAGGCGGCGGTTGGAGCGCGCGGGGCAGCAGTGGTAGCGGTGGTAGTGGCGGTGGCGACGGCGGCGGGTGGCTGCGGGTGCTGCTGGCCGCGGCGCTCGCTCTTTACAGCGCCGCACGAGGAGGGCGGCCGCGTCACAGCCCGCCCCCGCGCTCCCCGCTGATTGGCCGTCGCGCGCCGCCCTCTTCGCATCACAACCGCCGCCGCCCTCGCCACGCCGCCCTCCGATTGGCTGAAACGCCGCCTCCCCTTACGCGGTGCTGTGGCTGCCAGGGACGGGGCGGGGCCGGCGCGTGGGGGGGCGAGGCGCGCAGCCTGTCGCCCGGGGTCGCACTGAGGGAGGAGAGGGGAGCGGGGCCCGGGGACGCTCGCCGGGCTGGGCCGGGCTGGGCCGGGCTGGGCCGCGAGCGGGGGCGACAGGGCGCTCCAGGCCCGGGAGGCCCCGGGGGAGGCTCCGGAGCGAAACTTTCCCTGGGCCCCTCGAAAGCCGGTGATTTCGGAGGCAGGGGGCCTGGCCCGGCAGGCAGGAAATTGACGCCTGCAGGCAGGCTGCTCTTTCCGCGAGACCTTGGGGGCCCCGTGGGTGTGTTTTATGACATTTCTCAGCGCTGGCTCAGCCAAGGCGCGTCCACGCCCGGTCCAATTCGGGGCCGTTGGTATTACTATCCGCGGTTCAGAAACCGAGGCCCGAAGAGGGAAGAGGTGACCGGTTCTAGGCCCGCAGCCGGGCGGCCCGCACACTTGCACTGCTGCTGCGACCCGCCCTCTGCCTCGGCCCGCCCTCTGCGCACCTCGCCTCAGTTTCCCTGTCCGTGGTGCTGAGGACGCTGAGGCCAAGAGGCCCAGGGCAGGAAGTGTATCTTCCCCCGTCTGTGGGACCGCCACAGGCGCCTAGAACTCTGGCCAAAGGTGCTTGCCACTGAGCTGCTGGCTTTGTGGACGCTGTCACCTGCCCTCCTGCAGGAGATGGCCGCGTGACCATGACTAACGCACCTTTGCCCTGGTGAGGTGGGGCGAGGGTCCCCGCTCCAGTTTGTCCACATACTGCCCCTTGTCCGTCTCTCGGGCCCCTCCACCTCAATCCTTCCTGAAAGTAAGTGGGATATAGATCATATAAAAAGCACGGATCCTGTGTTGTGGGATATGAGGTGGGACAAGAGGTTTCCCTGGTTAACAAGAGCTTAGGAAATCCAGGGCCAGGCGCACAGGAAATGGCTTCTTCGCAGGGATTTTGCAGTCTGCAGGAAACAAATATCTCTTCAAAAAAAGCATGTACTTGTCTGAACCTGATCCAAGACAAATTATCTTAACAAAAGGACATAAATGAAAAGGACTTTTTAAAAAATATATATTTTTTAGTTATAGATGGACACAATATCTTTTTTATGTGGTGCTGAAGATTGAACCCAGGGCCTTATACATGTGAGGCAAATGCTCTACCACTGAGCTACAGCCCAGCCCTAAAAAGGTCTTTGGACAAGTCCATGTGCTTATAAACCTGGAAGTTGAACAGGAGGAAGCTAGGAGATGCCCAGGACTCTATAGGAGTCCCTCTGGATGTCCGAAAGTCTGATAAATCAAGGTCTCCAGTCAGAGAAACATTTAGATAATAGAGCCAAGGACTTTGTCTAAAAATACCAGCCCAAGGGAGGTGGGGCCAGTATCAGTGGCCTGCCCAGGTGGCAGGCCCTTTGTCCCATACCAGTCTGGTAATTGCAGAGGAATGTGGGAAATCTGGCCAGAGAAAGGAGTGCTAGAAGTAAGAAGTGACCTCTATAATTTGAAGTAGCTTTCTGGCTATGAAAACCCACAGGCACCTTTCTGGGATAGCAGCTCCCTATGGAGACAAAAAGTGTCTCATTAAAGAGGCTGGAAAATTTCCTGAACCCCAAAGCTTAAAAGAAAAGTGGAATGTGGGATATGTGGCCAGGCTGTGGGACGTTTGAATTTGGGTTTTGTGGCAATGGGGAGAAGGAGCACCATGTGATGCTGCTCCAAGCATTGATCTCCCCCCTAGGAACCATGAGCCCTGCCTTCCAATTTGAGGGAAATCAGTGTATGGTCATCCCTCAGTACCCAAGGTATAAAATGGCTGTGGTATTTGCATTAAAAACTACCGTATCCTTCTGTGTGCTTTAAATCATCTGTAGATGGCTTGTCATACCTAATGCAAGCAAATGCTGTGTAAATAGTTGTTACATAGGGAAAATGACAAGGAAAAGTGCATACAGATGTACTTTTTTAAAAAAATCTTTTAATAGTTATTTTTTAGTTTTTGGTGGACACAACATCTTTATTTTATTTTTATGTGGTACTGAGGATCGAACCCAGCGCCCCACGCATGCCATGCCAGGCGAGCGCGCTACCGCTTGAGCCACATCCCCAGCCCCTAAAAAAATATTTTTGATCCAATGTTAGTGGAACCCACAGATGTGGAACCCACAGATTTAGAGAGATGACTTGCTCATTTGAAAGTGTAACCACCTTTGAGGAGCTGGAACTCTGGTGGTGGTGGCAGCTCCTGGCCTCTGTCACACCTTTCCCCTCCACTCTCACAGTTCTGCTCCCCCTTCATTAGAGGAGTGCTGGGGCTTTTGAGGGAGCATCAGAGTGCCCTGATGAAGGTGATTCATTTCAACCTGTTGGCTTGAGTACTTAAGAGAAGACAGATGTCGCAAGATGCAAGCTGAATTTTCATGATGTGACTTGAGGCTTATGTCCTGTGTCTGGTAGGGATTTGCCCTCCTTTCCCACAGGCTTCGCCTCACCCTGCGCCCCCTCAGAGGCCACTCAGCCTGGGCCCATGAGGAAAACTACGTAAACAAGGATATCATCCAAAATTCCTTCCCTTAATAGCAATGTTCCAGGGCTGGGGATGTGGCTCAAGCGGTAGCGCGCTCGCCTGGCATGCGTGCGGCCCGAGTTCGATCCTCAGCACCACATACAAACAAAGATGTTGTGTCCGCCGAAAACTAAAAATATAAATATTAAAAGAAAAAAATTCTCTCTCTCTCTCTCTTTAAAAAAAAAATAGCAATGTTCCAAACCTCAGCAGAAACCCTGCAACACCTGCAACAACTCTGGAGCTCAGCTCTGTTATCTCCATTGAACAGATCAGGAAACCAAGGCTCAGAGAAGTTAATAACTCACTTGAGACCACACAAATGAAGCCCATGGCTGATCCCAGGCAGTGTGGCTACATTCTGCAGCTTCCCAAGTCACTCTCCCAAGAAGAAAAATGATTGGCCCAGCTCCTCTCTGAAAGCCTTGTCATGGGGCGTGACCAGCCCAGGAATTGGTGCCCCTGAGTCAGGTGTCCAGGTCTGGCCCAATCAACTCTTTTTTTTTTTTTTAATTTTTTTTTTTATTGTTGGTCCAATCAACTCTTAACAAGTGGCTGGTACCAGACATGACCACCTGAATGTCAGGTACCTTCCCAGGCTGTGGCTGTGGTGAGAAGTTAAGTGCAGCTCCTACTCTGCCAAAACGGGTCCCTTCTTTGGAGAAGGCCCCATGTGACTCAAGTCCTTTTTTCATGTCACAAGCACACCCTGCACACATTGGTCGTCACCTCCAAACCCTGCATAGCACATGCTCTAGAGCACATGCTGTGGAGCCTGGCAGCGTGGAGCCTGGCATCCTGCCTCCAGCTCTCATCTGGCAGCCGTCTTCAAGCAGGCCGCTTACCTCCCCTGAGCTTTATTTTCCTTGTCTGTAAAATGGGCATGACAGTCCACCTCATGGAAGGATGCATGTGTGAGAATTCTTGAAATAGAGCAGGGAAAGCATGACATGTAGTGCCTAGCACATAGAAAATAGCACCATTTTCTTGCTAAATGTCCAGTTTCTGCAAGAGAAGGAGCAGTTATCTGCTGTGGCTTCCATTTAATAGTTAGAGACCAAGCCCTGCCAAGGCTGAAGCCACTTGGCTGAGGTGCAGGACCAGGCAGGACTCTTTCTTCCCAGGTGTCTTGCACCCTCTGCCCCAGACACTACCCCTGCTAGCAGCTCCTTTGGTATAGAACACAACACACATGGTGGACAAGGATACCACATGGGGCTCTTATTGGTCCGTAGGGATGAAAAGAGAGGTTCTTTTTCCTTTTTTTTTAATATTTATTTTTTAGTTGTAACTGAATACAATACCTTTATTTTATTTATTTATTTTTATGTGGTGCTAAGGATCAAACCCAAGGCCTCACATACACTAGGTGAGCTCTCTACCGCTGAGCCACAACCCCAGCCCAAAAGAGAGGTCCTTATTGGTCCATCCTTATCTTTATCAATTAGGATCCACCCTTAATGCTGGGTGGTCAATTCCACTGGAACCCACTGGGCAGAGCCTGGAAGAGCTTAGCAAATTGTGACACTGAAACAACAGGTTTGCCTGAAAGAGTAACTCTGTCCATAGGAGCAGAAACCTCCCTGAGGGGAGGTTCTGGGAACCTTTGGAAGGTTGAGAAGACATTCACCTGGCAGTAAAGAGTATCCCAAAGGAGAAAACACGGCCAAAAATATGCTCATGACCCGTGAGCTAGCAACCTTATTCCCAAGACCCCTTCCAAGAAAGAGATTATTCAAAGCAAAAAGCCCCATGCACAAAATTGCCCGTTGCCACATTATAATTGGAGAAAACTGGAAATACCCTAAATGTCCCACACCCGAGGAGGCTGGACCAATAAATGATGCTGGGCCCATGTGGCATTTTCAGACAGGAGTTAAACACACCCAGGCTGAAGTCAGTGATAACAAGTAAAGGGTTCAAAGGGTTCGTTTCCCACACATTTCTTCTTCCATGCGCCTGCCATAGGGCTTGGCACCCTAGATAGGGGGAAAGCCGATCCGCCTTGCTCCTGCTCCAACCTAGATTGGCCA